ATTCTGTAACTCAATTCAAAACAACTCTTTCCCCAAATGGCCCCTAGTTAAACAATCTTGAATACGGTAAGTGCCACACTGCATTTTTGTTCTCCAATACCAGCCTGCCACAGGGAAGGATTCACCTTCACCGTAAAACCCTGCACTATCTTGCAGTTCACAGTAACCACTGGGCTTCTCATAGATCTGGGTCTGACAGCCTGGTCCATTATTTCTGCCTGTGACTGTCACGTCTCGGGTTTAGCTGGTGTTAGCAAAGACAGGTCCCCTCCCTGAGAGCCAAGATTCCTTTTCCAACTGCTTCATTCTTTTTGCTGCCTGTGCTGTGTTCCTCAGGCTTCTCTGTAGTATCTGTTTTTCCTGCCAGCTCCCTCCCAGTTCCTGGAGATCTACTTCTTTTGTTCTCTTCACGAGTCGTTTTCCAGGTATCTCGATTCCAGATCTCTGGTTTGCTGATCCACGATTTTTAATGCTCCGCTTTGACCAATCATCTCTGATGAGCCATTGTAATGTTCCATGAACCTCTAAGGTTACTAATACCGATATCTAGGATCACATCATCCATACCCCACTATATTTTCTACTTCTCTGTCGCATGTTACTTACCATCTTTAGAATCCTCTGAATACAGACAGTTGTGCTACCAAGGCCTTTCTCCCAGGAAGGAGCTTTCTTCCTGCCGTTACTGACTTGGCAGATTCTTATCCAAAGGCTGAGAGTGGAGCATGGCGTAGATGCCATGTCTTTGTTTCCCTTGAATGGGCACACACTAACATTTTACAGTCTAGTTACTTGAACATTCTGCACTCTGCTTGGGTGTGGTTTATGTTACGGAGTTACATCAGAACTACACATGTGTACACAGAGGTTGCTATCACTGCATTGTAAAAAGTTCCTGCCCCAACGTGTGGGGGAGGGATACCACAGTAAAACTTTCAAAGTTGTAAAGCACTGTGTGTGTCTAAGGTGCTAGTGTTATTACTGCGATGACTTTCTTTGCCAGTGTTCCTGACAGTAGACATTTGAGAGATCCTTTTCCATTGAGATCTATGGAAATAAAATTGAGAAATTGATCAGGAAAACCTACTAGTTGATAAATTAGAAAGAAGTAAATACTGAAATACAAACTGAAACCTCTTCAGTCTATCACCACTGATCAAGCATCTTTGATGTGAAAAATGCTGAACTAGATAATAAGAACTAAAGAAAACCAGTTTCCCTATCAGTGATACACTGAATAGATCTGGTTGCTGCAGGGTCGCCCTGTAGCCCCTGCCTGCCTAGAAGTCTGGCTGACCCCACACTGCCCTCTGAGGAACCAGACGAGCATCATATTAACAAGCGCCTAACTCATTCCCTTCTTAGGCATGGAGGCCAAGACCACCCACTCTGGTATTTCACACTCGGGAGAATTAAGTGACAGACTTCTGGGCTTTAATTTTGCAGAAAAGTTTTAGCAACTGGGCCATTAGAGCTGTTGTTATCTTTCTTGGCCAAACAGCTAATTAGCATCATCGTGTGCTCTGGACTAGAAAATGTCCCGTTGAGCTGGTGAGACTCAGATTTGTCAGTAATTAATATCAGAGAGGACAGGGCCATGCCCCTGTCAGGGCAGCACTGGAGCAGCGAGGCTTACAGACTGTCTTCTGTCCCGAAGCCTTGCCTTTGTAGCTGACTGACGTTCCAGAAAACCTTTTTCTTTTTTTTTTTTTTTTTTTTGTTTTTTTTTTTTGTTTTGTTTTTTGTTTTTTTGTTTTTTTTGCCTTTTTCCTTTTTATCGGTACCGGGGATCGAACTCACGACTGCCTGCTTGCAAGGCAGGTGCTTATGCCGCTGAGCTAAACCTCCAGCCTCCAGAAAACCTTTTTCACAAGACTGTGCATTTAATTTTGGTGGACGAGGAAGAGAAAGAAAGAGACGGATGAAGCAACTGGAGATCCTATTTTCCCTTAGATTTTTTTCATCAATGTTCTCCCTGTGGTATTTCTTTATCCATCAAAATTTATCCCTTTATTTTCCCTTTCTAAAGAAAATACTGAAGAGAAAAAACACTATTTCTCCTCGTTGGCCTCTGTGGTTGGTATAAATAGGGAATTTGTTATCCAGAAATCACAGTCCCTTACGGTCCTTGTGTCTGATATATGGAGGCCTTTGCTGGCCTGTGGTCTCTGAGGTATTGGCTATCCAGGTCTGAAATTAAAGGCACGCCCTCGGCCTTGTGCTTCGCAAAAAGAAGGAAAATAGAGAAGAACCAGGGAAGGGAATGAGGATAAAAGCAGCATAGTCAGGCGCACACCAGGCCTACTGCGAGGTGAGCCAGGGTCTCAGCAGCCTGCAGCCCCCTTCCCTCCCCTTCACCACACGTGCACTACCAGCGGGCCCCCAGGTAGTGTTAATACACAAGGCACAGCAGGATTTGTTTGGTCCAGGGGTGTGTCTCTGCCTGTTGGTCTGACATAGATATTTGGACTTTAATAATCAAACATTCTTGGAAAGGACTAGACTGTACCATCAGCTAGGAGGGAGTGACCCAACTGAGGATGTGTTCACCCACTGTGCCTGCTGGGGACTGATTTTAAAGTAATCTGATCAGATGCTACATGGCCAGTGAATCTGTTGGCTGTTTCTCTGAAAGTCAAGTGTAAGAAGATGAAGAACAAAGCCACCTATATTAATTCTCCTGTAAAGCAATTTAGAAGATCACATTTTACATAAATTTAGTAACTTGAATGAAGCTTGGACAGGCTTTCCAAGGAATACACCACTTTCTGTCAACTCAGCTGCCCTCTGCCTCCCATCCAGCTGGTTAGTCTTGCATCTCAAGCAGTTTCATGAACCCTCCAGGCACTGCAGATTCTGATTCTACTCCAGATTATCTTATCTGCTTATTTTGTTCAAGATCAGTTCAGATCATATTTTTTAAAATTCAACTCGAGTCTGTTTCTCTGTTTAATAAAGTTACAGGTTAAAGCTAATCCTTATGGTTATCATACCAAAAAATGTGGATCCCTTTAATCACACCGTTTCTGTGTTCTGTGTAGAACACAGTGTGACCTTTGCTCTGCATTTGATGGAAGAGGATTTTACTTACCTGGAGGATGAGGTTAAGGTTAGGACTATGTGGCTTACTCCTCAGTGAAAAGAAACAGCTTCCCTAATTCCCACCAAAGTAAATGCTTGTTATCTGCTTTCAGAAAACGTATGCTTTGAAATTCTGGCTTTTAGGTGTTGCCAACGGTTTGCTCTTATCGCAGTGAAGTGTAATTCACAGAGTCTTGGGTACAGGTCTTGGTGGAAATTGACTTACTGTTGAGAGTCTTTATGTTTCCCCAGACTGTAGTGGTAGGGTAAGCACTGACTCTTGGCTACCAGGGCACAAGGCACCTTCCCCAGCTGACAGTTGTCTCCATGCTGGTCCTATAACAAACATCGCTCAGCTACAAGGGACTAAGATAGTAGATGTCACCAGTGCTCCATTTGAAGTGATAAGTCATAGAAAAGCACAGAGGTATGAGCAGGCCTTGAACACTGAAACCCCATCTGACTCTCTATCATTGTGCTCATCAGCTTTCTGTCACTGTGAAAAAACACCCAAATCAAACAACATAGACGGAGAAAAGGGTTATTCTGGCTCATGGTTTCAGAGACTTCAGTCCATGGCCATGGCACTGGCATGTCATTCTGGCAGGGCATATGGCACAGGAAACTACTTCCTCATGGCAGCTGGGAAGCAGAGACAGAGAAAGAGGCCAAGGCCTCATCTTCAAGGCACACTCTCCCTCCACTGACTCCACCTCTTAAAAGTGCCACCTCTTCCTAATGGCGCCTCACATTAGTGGCCGTGACTTTAATGTATGAACTTCTGGGGAAACATGTAAGATCGAAATCATAAAAATTAGAGACTTTTTGTCTGTATTTTCACTTACTATCTTGGTATCCTGGTTTAAAAAGGGATTCACGTGATTGATTTCTTTTACCCCCCCCCCAAAAAAATCCCTGTATTTGAGACCCGGTATCACATGAGTTACTCACAGGACAGGTATCTAATCTGTCTGTGATTGAATGCCAATGAGTACAGCTGTCAAACATGGTAATGGACGGGGACAGGTGATTCTAGTTTCTCATTCATGAATAACCAGCAGATGTCAGCCCCATGAGGACCCCTTGAGTCAGCACTCACTGTTACTGGATTGTCTTCCGGGTAGTAGATGACTACTCCTCAAAGCCAATCTCAGCCAACCCCAGATCTGAGAAACAGAAGTATTCTCTTAGTCCAGGCTGCTTACCTAGCCTGCAGCTTGTTCCCCTCACTATGGTTGGTTACTCTGCAAAGACAGGTTCCTAAGATAGAGAACTTAGAATCTTAACCTGGAATCCAGGTTGGTTTTGTTTGTTGGCTTAATTCTCAGAAAGACCTAAAAACCAGAGCTTTGTATACTGTACAGGCTGTATCATCTGTGAAAGAGGAGTAAATGTATTAGTGGCTGCTCCTTTAAATCTCACACAGTGCTTTAGGACCTGTTATTTCTACTGTAAAGCAAGTCATTTATTTTGTGTCTGTGTTTTATGGGTGCTTTGGTCTATTTTCTACTATTCCCACTAGTGCTTACAGGTTCCATCCATAGCAGAGAATGGGCACAGAGAAATTGTACAGAAAGTTTTAATGTCTTTGGAGAACAGGATGAACCAGATTCAAGCTGGATACCAGTAGAATTTGCTCTCATATGCCCTGGGAGAAAAGGACAAAGCTACACAATGTATTCAGTCAGTCTCACCAATTAAGATCAAGGTCCCAAGGACCACAAGCATTGTAAACGACTCATGTCAGGAGAAAGTTGAGGGGGAGGAAAAGTGCATGCAGCTTTAGTGAACCTGAGGATGTCCAGTGACTTAAGATATAGTGAGTGAGCTGAGACATTCTGGGAAGAGGCCCTGGCCCACCAGTATATGGGGCCAGCATGTGAGCGGCACCACCTCTAAATGAATTTCTTTGCTTCCAGGCAACGCCCTGCCCTTGGAGAATGTCTGGCTTCACTGGCAGCTGCCATACCAGTGGCATTCCTGGAGCCCACCCTTAACCGCTATAATCCTCTCTCAGTCTTCAACACCAAAACCTCCAGGGAGAGATCTAGTAAGTATTCTCAGAGAGCTCACCTGCCCATTCCACGTGCTGGGGGACAGTTGGCCATGAAGGTGACGCAGGCACAGAGAAGCTCCCCTGCAGCTCTGTTGTTCTACACAAGAGGGGCCAGGAGGCCCAGGTTTGTAGATCACGTCTTCCACTTGGAAAAATGAGCACATACAAGATTTTGTTCTCATTAGGCTTGGTTCCCTCACCGGTAAAATGAGGAGGCAGCAATAGTTGACTTCTAACCCCCTTCCAGCCTATTTTTCTGGGGTCTCTTGTCTGCCCTGGTCTCAGTTTCTCTTCTGCACCTGAAAATGGGAATCCTTTTTCTCAGCCCCTCTCCAGAGTGTCATCAGAAGAAGAGTGTCCACAGGAATAACCTAATTGTAGTATGTAGGGAGAGGCTGGCTTCTAATGACTCAGACCATATTCTTTTCTTTATGAGAGAACAGACAGAAAAACACCAAAAGGAACTGAAATTAAATAAGAAAGAAAATTTCTTAACAAGAACATTATCACACTAAGTTGGAATAGGGTTTGACAAACTATAGCACAGGGCAAATATGGCCCCAGCCTATTTTTGTAAGGTTTTACTGGAATATACACCAATAAACAGTAGTACTACAAGACACGTTGTAAGCCTGTTTGTGAATGGTGGAAAAGAAAATCCTCATCTCTAAATTACCCTAATCCCATTTAAGGGCAATGGAATTGAATAGAAAATCTTCAGTAGGAGTCTAATTTAATAAAACTTAGGCCCCAATTAGAAGTAATTACAATGACTTGATGGAATGTTGATCAAAAATTAGTAAATTGGTGGACTCATGAATACTAAGAAAAAAATCACCATAGTCAGCCATTTTAAACTAACATTTGTCCTACTCAGGAGACAACAGACCAGTAGATGGCTGGACATTTTTGCAATTCTATTTATTTCAAGTCCCCTTATTCAGACTGTCACGAGTCCTAAGGGAGAAGACTTCAAGACAAAAAGATTCCTTCCACACTTTTTGTCACTGCTGGTGTTTTCATCTGCTAATGAAGAGTGCCAGCCCATTTTTCTCACTTGCAGCATGCTGCTTCCCACAGAGGGAGAACATTGCCCCCAGAAATGATTGCCAGGACAATTTAGATAGGGATGCTGATGAAATTCCTTCTGAGCTAGAAAACAGGAAACTAGTGTTCTCAGAGGGACCAAGAGAGAAGCGTTGCCAAGATGGCTCAGCTTTCCAAAGTTCCATGTGAAATGTGGTGGCTAACTTTTCTCCACCCCCTCAGCCTCAGCCACATCCTCTTCCCGCCTCTGGAGAGGGAGAAACCTGCACAGCTTCTCATCTCTTGAAGGCAACATGAAGAGGTGACAAAGAACTCGCCTGGGGAGGCAGTGAGAGAAATGCCTCTCTGCTCTTGCACTCTTTCCTAAGGGTTGTTCTTCTGTTTTTTGCTTTTTGGTTTTTGTTTTGTTTTGTTTTTTGTTTTTTTGCACCAGTGATCAAATTCACGACCTCACACTTGCCAGGCAGACGCTTGTGCCACAGAGCTATTCTAAAGGTTATTTGAAAACAAAAAGTTTCTTCTTATTTCATATTCCATGTACCTCTGAATTTGATTTAATAAGACACATTCATAAATAAGGAAGTATCAATCGTTGCATATTCTGAAGGAGGAATAGAGGTTAGATTGTGATTAGAGATGACACAGCCCCTTATTCGTCAGGAACACCCTGTGGGACTCAGTATCCAGGTTCTCTGAGCCCCATTTTTATATTGATTTAATAAGCAAAGAATGCTGACCATGTGCATGCATCCTGAAAAGTGGTATAAGCTTGAATATGTGTGCTGTTATAACCAGGCTTCCCAGGAGGAGACTGAAGGCTTAGTGGGCCTTAAGTAGGTAAGCTCCATTCATTACAGAGCGCATAGCCTGAGGAATACAGGGGAAGGAGGGAGAGGGTGACAAGTGGTGTTATGTTTTAGAACTATATGATCTGGCTTAACAAACCTTCAGGCAGCTGGACATCTTTGTTAATCGACTCTGTGCTTTGCCAGCAGTTACTCGTATTTTTATTTCCAATGCCCTGCAAAAACCCTGGAGCATCATCTGACTCATCTATAAATTAAGATTGCCGAGAAAAGGTTTAATACGGTTATGGGCCACCAGTGAGTTGAAACTAGATTAAATCCTTGGTTATGTGCATTAATCAGAATATGGAATCGATGAAATCATCCTACCACCAACCAGTGTACTTTCCTAACATGCCCAATCAGAATAATCAACCACAGGGAAAAGAGGTTCATTTCCTTCAGTGTAAACCATCTGCCTGTACTGCAAAGAGGTGATGCTCTCTGGTGCTGTCTTCTTGAGAAAAGAGCTACAGAACTTTAGAATCTAACTCAGTGGTTCTTAAATGCTAATGCACGTCAGAATCACTGACAAGTTTTGTTAAATATTGCTGAGCCCTGTTACTGAGTTTCTTTTTTTTTTTTATTTTATTTAAGAGGAAAAAGAGAAAAACACAAAACAAAACAAAGTGGTGTAAGGTTACACATAATACAGAACTATAAAAAAAAATAACAGTAAGAAATCACCTATTAATAGATTACATATTATCATCTTGGAAATAGTTGCTCACATCACAGTATCAAAGAATACAAAGTAGACATTCAAACAGAGAGACTGCAAACAGCTGTGTTCAATGATCCAAAAACATTAATATAGTCAGCTATTTAACACGTTACTGAGTTTCTAGTTCATTAGACTTGGAGTAAGTCCTGAGAAACAAATTTCTAGGATTCAGGATGGCAAACTTTTAACAGCTCACTGTGGCACACATACTGTAAGTTTGCCAATGTTGTTTATGTGATGCTGCTGCTGCTGCTGGTGGTGACAGGATCCCAACTGAGAACCACTGATGTATTCTAGCTGATGAGAGGACAGTGTTTTTGAATGATTCCCTGTGTCTCATTCTAACCAGATGCTGCTGAGACTGCTTTTCAGGCAGCCAACTCAGCAAGGTTCATTCTATGGGTTAATATGTGGCATTTGAAGTACAGAACACCTTCTGAATCCCAAATGTTTATTCCACTCAAGGACCAATTACTGCACATATAAAGGTCAATATAATGACTCCTGTGTACCAATCTCAAGCAAATCTGTGTTTGTCTTAGGCAGAAAAAAATAGTGTCTATGACAATACATACTGTCCATGTGACATTTAAACATACACATACACCTGAGTCCTCTCATTCAAAATCAGACAGCACATAATTATTCAGTTCCATTGTTCTGTGTACGTAGCCTCCAGCCTCTGGGTAGAGAGATTGACTTCTCCACTTTACCTGTGTACTCCGAGGGTATATTTTGTTTGTGACATGTAAGACTCAGTCTGACACCTAGGAATATACACAGCCTCTGGCATCTTCAGTCTGCACAAACTACCAGAAGACCAGTGCTTCTCCGCAACCAAGATCCTCCTCTGAGGCTCTGGGGCGGAAATTTGTACACATCTGAAGTCCAAAGGAAGGGTGGGGCAGAGGGAGAGGAGGTCTCCCATTGTGCCATTCTTCTCCCTGTGCCTCTTGGTCAGTTCTAGGGATGCCAGACACGGTAGAGAAGATGTGTCCTGATATCCCCCATCTGGACATCCTCATGAAGGAGATCAATGAGCTGGCCGAGTCTGGGGCCCGGTACACAGAGATGCCCCACGTCATCGAGGTGATCTTGCCCATGCTCTGCAACTACCTGTCCTACTGGTGGGAGCGAGGGCCGGAGAACCTGCCTCCCAGCACCGGGCCCTGCTGCACTCAGGTCACCTCTGAACACCTCAGCCTCATCCTGGGCAACATCTTGAAAATAATCAACAACAACCTAGGCATTGATGAGGCCTCCTGGATGAAGCGGATTGCAGGTACTGGAGCCTTTTCTCCCCAGGTCCTGTCCCAGGCTGAGCAGCCAGATTCTTTTCATCCCTTGTTAATCCCATGATGCTTTCCTGCAAGCTCTGTTCTATCTTCAAACCTCCAATTGCTTGTGACATGTAGTAACTGGAAGTGACCTCTCCCCTGAAGAGGTTCTGAAGCCAGTGCTCTTGCCCCACTTCCCTGCCAACCCCGCCCCCTAGCATTTCCAGGAAGACTTCGATCCACTTCCCTCCATTAGAGTGGTCATTGCTTAATTTGATTTGGGTTCATAAGAGCCCCTTCCCCTCCTAGTAATCATCATTCCTGTGCACTTTCCACGTGTGCAAAACTCATTCCCATCTGGACTGCACTGAAGTCCCTTAATGTCACTCTGAATTTGCATTTCACTTTATGCATTTTGAAACTAATGTGGGCTCACAGTAGCAGTGATTTGTTTATTGGGGTTTTCATTCATGTTTTTTTTTGTCCCTCGATAACTCCCTGCATGCATCACACTTTTAATGGATCCTGTTAGCCATTCTTCTGTTCCTGAAGCAACCTCAAAAAAGGGCAAGCTTTGGAAAAGAACCTACTTCTCACTACCAAAAAGCCATGAGTTTCCAAACATGGTGGAACATGTGTATAATCCCACCCGAGGCAGGAGGGTCGCAGCTTCAAGGCCAGTCTGAGCATCTTAGAGAGATCTAGTCTCAAAAACTAAACATTTTAGGGCTGGGGATGTAGGTCAGCAGCACAGCACCTGCCTGGGAAGCGCAAGGTCGTAAGTTCGATCCGATGTACCAAAATAATAATAATAAATATTTTAAAAGGACAGGGGCTGTGTCTCAGTGATAGAGCACACGGCTATCATGTGCAAGGCCCGGGGGTTCAGTCCCCAGTACAGAAAAACAGAGAGGGGGAAGGTAACAAGAGGGGAAAGGGATGAGGACAAGTATTAGTTGAAACCTTCTATGTCAAACAGGAGCCAAAGGAGACAGATCTAAAGGAAAGTTACTGTGTTTCACACACCTTCAATTTAACTAGTGAAGCTCGCTAGCAGCAGCTTCCTCCATAGTCTCTCCCGGACCATGAAATAACACAGCTAAAGGTAGTTGTTAGCCCAACATTAGGTAATTACCTTCCTGGACAAATGAATGCTTCTGTACAACCAAGGAAAAAGACTTTTACCTCTTTCATTAGGAAGGAATTAAAACCAAAATTGTACATATCTTTGGTTCTGGTGGCTGCAAGGTAATGTGGGCCTTTGTGGGCAGAAGAGGGGCTAGAAGAATGTCCCTTCCTATCCATTAGCTTTAAATAACATTGTTACCATAAGGCAGCCCTTTGGAGGAGATCCACTGTGTAGGTGAATCAAGAGAAAGCAGAGAGTCAAACCCAGCTCCTGTCTCTGCAAAGGAGACCTGTCACCATGAGCAGCACTGAAATACAGCTGTGCCTCTTATTCTAGAGGCAAATCTGGGTCTCACTCAGTTGGACCACTTAATTTCTGGGACTCTACTAAGCCAATTTTAAATAGTCATCTAAGCTCAGACCACCTTTATCAGGCACAGACATTCTGACTGCAGCTCAGTGAGGGCCAACCAATCGCAACTCAGGTAACGCATCTCTTAGAAAGCTTCTTCAACCTCTTTCTAAAACTTCCTATTTAAAAAAAAAGTGAAAAGAAGGGGAAAATTATAAAGAAAAGTTGCTGGAATGTAGGCTGTTTCCAGTCAAAATGCCCAAATCTGTAGAAATTTGGAAATACACAAGATGTATTAAAGTGTTCGCTCTCAGTGCTTCGTGACTTCTTTCTCTTGGTGGAATGGGGTAGGGGCAGGGATGAGCGAGTGGTACTGGGGAGGGTCCAGGTCCTTCACCCTGTGCTGCATTTCCAGACCTAGCTAAGTTGCTAGGTCTTAGCCTCAGAGTACTGGGATTATATGGTGTGTACCACCATGCTTGACTATGATTCAATTTAGTTCACTTTTTTCTTCTAATTCCTCTTAATTTTACCTTCAAAATATCCTACCACATTGGTCTGTTTCATAATAATGTGATCACTGCCTGATCAATAGGACATAAAAAAGAAGAATGGAAGACATACATGTTTCATCTTTCTCTTTGAGAAAGGCAAACACTGTAGCCCCACTGATCACTTGTTTCTGCTTTTCACCTTATGGAGACCCCTCAGCCTCTCTCTGTTAATTTTAGCTGAGATCAGCATTACCACAGGAGCCCAGAAGCAGTGGCCTGGCAGGTCTTGCTTGTTGAAGACTGAGAACTATGATGGGATTGTTGCATGTTTACCAAATTGTTCCATAAACTAACCAGAACGTGTGTGTGTGTGTGCACGCGCGTGTGCACGCATATACACTAACACTGATTTCATTAAGTGGCACATGATAACTGCATATTTACGGGGTGCAGTGTGGCAGGTCTGAACAGGGTGCTGGCCTGTCTGTCACCTCAACAGGAAACATGGACTGAGCACCTGCTGTGGTCCAATGTGGTACTGGCTCCAGGGAATGAGAGGCTTCCTCTAGGGACATCACATGGAGCTACAGGGCCCAAACCTAGCTGTGAGACATAACTGAGGGGAAACCCTTTGTCTGCAAATGCAGTGTTCGCCCAGCCAATCATCAGCAAAGCCAGACCCGACCTGCTGCGAAGCCACTTCATCCCCACTCTGGAGAAGCTGAAAAAGAAGGCCGTCAAGACGGTGCAGGAGGAGGAGCAACTGAAAGCCGACGGCAAGGGGGACACCCAGGAGGCAGAGCTGCTCATCCTGGATGAGTTCGCAGTGCTCTGCAGAGATCTCTATGCCTTCTACCCTATGCTCATCCGCTATGTGGACAACAACAGGTACAGGGAGACCTCAGCAAACCCACCAGCCCCTGCCCAAGGCAAATTTGGGCAACAGAAATGAATGGAAAGGTTGTGCTGGACTATAGGAATGGTGAGATGAAGGGAAGTTACAGTTGTCACTACCAGTCCTCCATTAGTCTTCGGGACAGGACCTATATGGACAGTGCTTTCTCTGGCCAGTGATTCCATGTGACTGTGGCAGTCAAGATCGTAGGCTGCCATGAGACAGAGAAAGCTGGTCAGATGAGGGTAGTGGTGACCTGCTTCTGCCTTCTGTTGTTCATTCTCACATTTATGCAAGGGACATGGCTTGACTGTGTGTCAGGCACCGTTGGAGAACAGGAACGGGCAGGATAGATTAGCTCTCTGACCTGAGGAGCTTTTCTTCTGGGATTAGCGGAACATGTGAGTAAATCATATAGAAGAGGGTAAGGGGAATTAGCAGCGCTGAGGTAGGATAGGGTCATGCTTTTGTAACGAGGGTGTTACTGAGAAAGTAACATCTGAGCAAAGACCTGGGAGAAGTAGAATTGGGAGCCCAAAGGTCTGGGGCAACGATGTCACAGGAAGAGTGACCTGGTGGGGTAAGTCCTAAGGAGGGGATGTCTTTGAGATGCTCAAGGGAGTCATAAGGATGCCAGAATAGAATAAGGGACAGGACAGTAGTAGGGGATCCAGGAAAGGAAAAGGGGGTAAGGAACCCGAGGACTTGGAGGCCACCGTGAGGACTCTGGCTTTACTGTGAGTGAGACAAACCAGTGGAGGGTAAAGTATATCTGTGCCCTGGCCCAACTCACTCGAGAAATGTTAGTAAGGGTGAGTGTGGATGCAGAAGCAAAAAGTCCAGCTGAGAAATTCACAGTGTCTCTGTTTATGAGGCAGTGGTGATCCATAGAGACAGGAAGCAATGTTAGCTGTGCCTGTGCTGGAGGGAGGAGGGACAAAGGAGAAATGACTGCTTAATGGGATTGAGGAGTGGAGTGATAAAAATCTTCTGAAACTGGAAACTGAGAGCAGTTGTACAACAGTGTGAAAGTACTAAATGTTAGTAGTGGTAAATTTTATGTTATATTATTTTACCATCATTTTTTTAAAAAGTGTTGATAGTGGCAAAAGCCATGGTGATAGCATTAAAGGTTAACAGATGTTGTCAGATTGTGATTCTATTTTGAAGGTAAAGCCTTCCAGATTGGGAATGACAGAAAAAGGAAAATCAAGACAGTTCTAGGAGTTTGGGACTGAACAAGTAGAAGAATGAGGTTTTCAGCAGTTGTGTTGGAGAAGATTGTGGGTATAAATACATACCTGTATTGAGACAGAAAGGAAGGGTGATCTGTAAGTCTTTTTCTGATTGCTTCTATTTTCTTACCTGGGAGAGAAGATACATGGGAAGGTATGAGGCAGTTGCCAGTGAGAATGGAAGAGTAGATGGAATAAGGAAATGCAGTGTGTTTTATCTTTAGAGCCCTGCTTGAGTCCTGTGCCATGAATTTAAAATGAGACCCATCCACGGGTTGTCTTTTCTCCAGCCATATTCAGCTGCCATGTATAAGAACAGAGTAGGAAGAGGGTGATTTTGACCAGGGAATTTTGCAAAGTGAGTACAACACAAATGGGTTAGGGAGTTGAGGTGTAATAGAATAGTTATAAAGATTGACTGTGTAATATTTTTATTTCCTTTTTTCTTGCACTAATTATACATATTGAGTTCAGTTCTATATTTCAACACACATATAAAGAATACACTGATTAAATCCAGCCTCCCTTTATCCATCTTCCTCCTCTCAACCCTTCCCCACCTCTATTAATCACTATTCTACATTAATAACCATGCAACTTAAGCAAGATGCTAAGGGCAATGAGGAGATAAGGGCTAATGTCCATGGACAGGCAACAGACCAAAAGATTGTTGGTCTAAGTAGTGCCACAATACAGATAGGGGATGGTGGTCAAAGAGTGAGATACATGAATTGAATATTATAAGATTGAGGGAGATCACAGTTATTGACAATGACCATGTGATTTTTATACCAAGGCAGATGGAGAAAAACAACAGTGACCTTAAAAGCTATGGTGTCGGGAAAATCATGAACACATACGCTGAAATCACTAAGACCGAGACTGGTAATATGTTGGGGAGATACTCATGAGACAAAAGTTACTCGGACGGTGAAGAGTGGCTGAGATTAGTGGGCAGCTGGTACAGCCTGAGGAGTGGAGATTTGGCACTGAGACACCTCGTGGTGTCTGTCTCTGTTCTAACACATGGGCATCGGTCAGGAAGAAGAGGTGGCAAAGAACACGGTGTAATGAGCTTACCCAAGTTGCTCTCCCTTCCCTCAAGCCTGTTCCCCAACTTCAGTGCTTCAGAATGGTTAGCCCAAGTCCCCCCTCTTGCTCTTCAGCCCTTCACACGGGCTCCGTGCACCTCTCCTTTCTCCTGTCAGTCACTTCCCTGAGGTTCTGTTCATACCCTGTCTGGACATAGTTGCATGTCCCGGTTCACCAGCAGACCCTCCTGGGCCATAGAACTTCAAAAGTTGAAAGGCTCAAATGTTAAAATTAAGTGAATTTATGTAGCGTCATGAATTGTCTGTATAATTCATTTTGGCCAAGCCCAATATGTTCATTTGTTGTTGAAGTTTAATTCAGCCATGTCTTAGTCATTTTCTTGTCACTGGGACAAATGGCCAGCAATCATGACTTTTTTTTTTTTTCAATCATGTCTTTAAAGAAGAGAGGTTTATGGTAGCTCACAGTTTTAGTCCAGTCAGCTGGCTCCAAGGCAGAAATAGGATGGTAGAGCGGCATAGAGGAGGAAAAGGTCGTTCACCCATGGTATCTAGGAAGCAGAATGAGAAGCATGGTATCTAGGAAGCAGAGGGAGAAATCAGAGACAAAACCCTCCCTTCTGGGTCACATACCCAGTGACCACTCCACCGAGGCTCAGCCTTCTAACAGCAGGTTACTCCCATGACCCAGTCATCTTCTAAACACATGGGACATTGGGAGGGCACTTTAGATCTAAACCATAATCAACCGTAATAAACAGTTAAATAATTATCTGAGAAATGATAAAGGCTTTAGTACTAAAAGTCTATAAAATCATAAAGGATGTTTACAGGATGAGCACAGCTATTTCCATTCAATCTTAGAATATGAATTAGGGGGAAAAAAACCCCTTATTCTCCACATAGGTTTTGGTGTTTGTTTTCCTCCATAACTGAATATATCTTATTTTTTCCACACTGGTTCTCCATTTCAATACCAATGGTGTATCCTAAACTTATGTTAATTCTGACACTAGTTACCCTATATTAGTGCAGACCCCCCAGCTTGAAGCTCAATCCTAAGCTACTGACACTTGCTGAGCCATGACAAATGCAGAGATGCTCATGACACCCTCTTCAAGATGAGTCATAGGAGTCAGGAAAGCATTTTAGTTATGATTATTGGTTAGTTATGATTATTTAGTTATTTTTAGTTATGATTATTGTACATTTGGAGTTCTTGAGTTCTTTTTTATAGAAAGAAAGTTCTTTCTTATAGAAAGAACTCAAGAACTCCAAATGTACAAGCAGCATAAGGAAATATGCGAGTGCAGGGGACACAGAGATGCCTCCCCCACCCTATGTGCACAGTCCACCCAGCACGTCAGTGTGTCTATCATGCTGGAAGCTCTGCATCTCATTATTCAAGAGGTTTTGTTGTTGGCTTGGGTTTTACAATGCCAGACACAGAACACAGACCACACTTACGCTGGTCAGGTGCACTACCACTGAGCTACATCCTCAGACCTCATCTTTCAAGAGACTTTGTGTAAGTTCATTGTGTAGATATGATTATTATACCATTGACTGTTGGTGACTGTCCCCAGAGGTAAGGAGTAAGGTGAGAGTTCCAAGCTTCTAATCCAATACCACGTAGAACCAAAAGATTCTCATCTTTCTGGTGCTCAGCCCACTCTTGAAGTTACCTAGCCTTTCAACCAAGGGTCATCATTAGCATACACCCAGATGCAGTGAAATGGGCTCATTATAAAAAACAAGAAAGTGTTACTATTACTCAAGAGACTGTCAGTTTAGGAGCTCTGTATCCAGAGCGAGAATATATATATATGCATTTCCACACTGTGATAAAATTTAAGGGCCTAAAATAGACATTTGAGAATGTTTTTAATTTCAAAATATTCATTATAGATATTAAAGGGATGCAGGAATATTTGGAGGAATATTTGGAGTTGTAGCCCATTTTGCCATGACCCAGTGACAGTTCTGGCTATTCTCATTTTAGCATCTATTTAAATTATTTAAAATAATTAAGCATCTTTTAAATTATTTAAAATAATTTCATCAAGATTGCTTATATTTGGCATTTTAAGGTAAACAGTTTATACACTTATTCCTTGCCATATATATATATATATACACACACACACACACACACACACACACACACACTCATAATTAAGAATAAAAGTTTCTTTATCTTCAGCAAATTGTACTCAATTCCATGAAAGTAAAAAGCATCATTTAGTCACTTCCGACAACATAATTATGTTAGCAGTTTAAAGAAGGAATTTGTCGGCATTTGAGGTGCAAACGAAAATAAAAGTAGAGAAAGATCGCTCCTGGAATAGCTCTTTAATTGCATTTGTGACTATTGATGAGCAAGACTGAAGACAGAGGGTATTTCACTTACACAGGGTTTGACAGCTGCTGAAAATGGCAATGCCAGAGAGTCTTTGAGATCATCATTAATTCATTCATCCCCACTTTTCAACCTGTTATTCCCTGAGCATGAAGTCACATAAGCCCTGTTTAGAAAAACATCTTTCCAGCATTTCTGAGTGTCTTCTTGGAGTCCTTTCTTTAGCCAAAAGAATGAGCTAGCGTGGAATGATGGGATTGTGGCATTGGCAGGGAGATCGTAGTCACCCCATCTTACCTTCAAATGGATGGCTAACTGCCCCTTCCTTTTTCCTAGCAGAGGCTTTC